TCGGATGAAGAAATGAAACAAATCCCTCCTAAAAGTCGATGTTTTTGAGTCCAGATGCCTTCCTGTCAGCGTGCAGCCCGTCCACCTCAGTCCCAGCGTGTCGACTATCAGCGTGCGGCGGGAAAACTTCAAACGTTGTCTGATCTTTCAGGGCTGGAGGAAGGCCTTGTAGCAGGAATCTTCTCAGGGTCCAAACCATCACGGCGTCAGGGCCCCCAGCTGAGTAACAAACAGAAAGTCGTGTTCTCTGTAGGATGGAGGTGCTGCTTCAATTTTCTCTACCTCTCCACAGACCCCTRCCTTTCACACCTGAACACCACCACGTCGTCCCTCCGCTGGAGATAAGATGTCTTCCTGCACTGAATCAGCACTGAGCCCTGTTTGCACACGTTACCATGCTTCTCCACTCCTTTTCTACGACTTCCTTTCATCCGCAGCTAACCTGAGTATGCAACAACACGAGGCACGTTCCTCTCACAGCTCGCGGTTCTTTCTGTAAACACAAACCATTTTTAAAAAGTGCGTTCTGTTCTGTTTGTGCAAACGACCAGAGGTTAAGAGTTCAGCTGCGTATTTAAAGGTTGTTTTTTTTTTTTTTGCACAAACCTCCAGATGTCAGCGTCCAACCTGCAGCAGCCTCTGATTGTTTGATTTGCTGGTTATTTAGAGTAGAAACTGTCTGTTTTTGGCATATATACACGGAGTGTGAAGTTTTTTTTAAGCGTATGGATTTTTATTTAGCATCACTTGAAATAAAAATGATATTTAAATACCTGACAGGGGTTTTGTTGTCTTGGTTATTGAGAGRAGAAAGTCTTGAGAAACTTCAACCCAGGTAAATATTTTTATCTGCAGTTTTTATTAGCATAAAATAGTATGAATTAATGAAAGGTAAAAAATAACAATTAAAAAACAATTAAAGTTGTTGCAGGTTAAAACACAAGAGGCAGAAGCATTGCAAACTGYTTGAATAAATTTTAAATTAAATATATTTTGATTTTGTTCAATATTTAGCAGAAAGTATTTTTCATTGAGAGAAGAAAGTCTTGAGAAACTTCAACCC